TAGACATCAGGTTCATTAGATTCTATCATTGTTATGGACAAGAGGATGCTAGTCAATGGGTTACTTTTTCTCCCAAAGTATATGCCTATTATGACTATGATGGAATCCAACCAGACTGCCCTTGGTATGGGACTCCGCTAAAGCGTTACGCGCGCATGGTCTCCGCTCAAAATGTAAGCAAACCATTACCTGGCAAGTCGTTCCAATCCTCCAGGATTTTCCGTTCCAGTTGGCAATAACCCTATCAAGGTTATTAATGCCGAAATACCGAGATGTATCAACAATCCTGCTACCAGAAGATATTCACTGTCATCCTTCGCATGGAAGACGAGAATGATCACCAAAGGAACAACGCGGAATAGTTCTATTAAAAAAGGAAGACCCTAGAGTGAACATGAAAGAAGAGAATAAAAAAATATAATTTATTCGTTAGTCAACTCATTCCTGAATTTCTAAATGCAAGCATTCAATTATTCAGTCAATCAATTGATTAATCCTTCAGCCAGTCGTCAGAATGTCAAGTCAGTTGATCAATTAGTCAGTCAGTCAGGCATCGGTCAATCAGTCAGCCAGCTAGGTAACTAGCGAGTCAGTCTGTCAGTCAGTCAGCTAGTCAGTCAGTTAGTCTGTCAGTAAGTAAGTCAGTCCGTCAGTCAGTTAGTCAGCCTTTCAGTCAGTCAGTCAGTCAAACAGTCAGTGGATCAGTCGGTCAGTTGGTGGGTCAGATCGCTTCATAGCTCGGCTAACGAGGGCGGTTTTGTAAATGTCATACAGCGCACGCCAATTTACACATATAAAAAAGTTACCTTTACGCAGAGATGACGGTTCGTCCTGTGCCTCTTACTGGCTACAACAGATGCACCACAGGAGAGCTCCATCATAACAAGCAAGCCTCTAAATGGCGCCTCGTCACCAAGCAGTGGACCCGCGTCATAGTTGACGGCAGCAGCAGAATTTGCCGCTACTTCAGACAAGCGAACAGCGATGGGCATAAGCTTACCATGAAGTCCTTGCTCATCAGGAGGACGGTCAAGTCGTTCAATACCATGAGGGGACATGGTGAGAACCTCATAATGCGGCTCTCTGAAGGAGGGGGTGCGTTTCCATCTGTTAACAGTGGTGCACCCGATATAGGTGGGTGTGAGGTCATCCAGGTCATCTAAAGTCAAAGCCTGCTTAAGTGGTGTAGTTTGGATCATGGATTCGTCAGGAGATGGATAGAAAAGGAAAAGATTACGCCACGAAATGCCACTGCAACCACATTTGGCAGTGGTCTTTGGATAATAGAATGCTTTTTGGATGATCCATCTGCAGAAAAACGTAGCTTTTTGTCATTCAGTTCTAGATAACGCGATGCTTGTAATACATAAATGAATTTTACCAAACAGAAGGTGGCCACAACGTCTCCACCTTTTTCCACCCTGTGTTAATTTATCGCCCATCCAACCTCACGACATTGGAGACACGAACAGCGTAAAAGTTAAACACACTTTTCCTCACCTGATATAAATGTGAACAATGCTTTGTTGTATCGTTATAACCAAAGGGACAACCCACATTAGAAGTATAGATACTGCAAATACCAGATCAAATACGCGATCATCGTAGGACGCCAAAGGCACTTATACGATACACTCTGAAGTGAATGACAAACGAGTAGAGATACAGAACATATACCAGTGAAGCATTGTCACGCACGCGAGGAAAGAAAAACCAAACAAAGAGCATTGGCACAAGGAGCAAGCCTTTCAAAAGGTCTGGTACGAATTGGAGGGAAACGTTTAAAAACCAGGGAAAAAACAGAATTCCAAACGTCATCAGACTGAAGAGTGAAAGCCAATTGAACAGACCTTCTCCGCTTTGGAAGGAATTTTTCATGACGTAGGATATGAAGGCGAGGACAGCAGGTATGCCGAACAGTAAAACGCGAAAATACATTTTCTCCGCCCCCTTACGATCCTTACCATCCGATAATCTATTTGCACATTCTTCTGCAGCAGTCTGCGCAACACTCCTGAGCAGAATGCCGCTGACCGAGCTCCGCCCCCAGAGAATGATAACCCAAACTTTGCCAAGGAAAGATCTGGAATTGCACTATTTTCACTGTAAGAAAAAGAGCAATTCAAAAAATGTATTCTTATTTGCATTTAGTCTGCGGAAAGAAACAGAAGTTATCTTTGAGTAAGAAACTTCTCTCATGGCTACATTTTCCTGTCCTTTTTCTATTTTGCATGTAATCACTCTTTCTATTTAATTAATTTATTGCTCTGTCAAGTTGTCTATACTCAGTTTCTCAGTTAAGTGTAAGGATAAGATCTGAAACCAACTGAATTTGTTGTTCTTATAACCTTTCCATTGTACTTCGCTGGACACGATGAGCAACCCACGCTATTTAACCCAGCTTCCACGTGGCCAATGTTGATGATGCGGATAGACCATCTTCCTTTAACCTAATTCTACTGTATGAATTCTTTCATACTATGATAATTGCGATCTTGCCGGAGTCAAAACTCTTGTGACTCAACCGTAAAATAGTTAGATGATTTTTGAAATACCGATCTTCCCCCAATAAGCGCCTGGACCACCCGGACGCACCTGGACGCACTCGGACGCACCCGGACGCACCCGGACGCACCCGGACGCACCCGGACGCATCCGGACGCACCCGGTTTTCCTTGTATCCCTACTATTTCAGAAAGTAAGGGAGGGGGAGCTTATTCGAAGGAGGCGCTTATTTGATCTATTAGCCAAGAGGGTGGGTGCTTATTTGGGTCAGTGGTGGGCGCATATGAGAGCATAACTGCTCATTCGAGGAAATAGGGTTCATTTCTAACTTTCAAGGATGTAGTCAGAGCAGCCACCCAGAGGAAAGGAAAGAAACAGGTGTGCGAGAAGGCAGACACGCGAGCCCCTTCTGCTTGCGTGCGTGACCCCTCGCGCGTGTCATTTGAACCGAGCCTTCAAAATTTTCCATTGGAGTCATCATGGTGAGCCAAACTTCATAACAATGCAGCTTAGCTCCGTGACACCAAAAATCATTCGTTAATTGACTTATGTACGAGGCTTAATTGACTGTGCAGTAACTCCTAGGCAGAATGTTAACTCCATTAACTCAGTGCTACGCTTGATATATGATTAAAACGAAACTTTCGGAATATCATTTCTAGGTCAGATAACATCATATGCGTGACAGCTTTGTCTCTTGAGGATGGGGGCATTGGGGCCTATGGGAAACCGCAAAACCGGAGAAAAAAACTTCCAAAACCGAAAAACCGACGCAAAAAAGCAGCAAAACTGAAAACCGCATGCCGTGACCTGACAAAACCGCTACATTTTCACCGTTAGAGGAGTCAAAAAGGAATACCGAAAACAGCGTCAGAGTTTTCGTGAAAACCGAAAACCGAATGCAAAAACACGTAAAATCCGCAAACTGCTCTGAACATCAAAACCGAAAAACCGAACCTTTTTGGCCCCAAAACCGAAAAACCGATTAAAAAAACAGTCAAAACCGCAAAACCGAAAATCTCAAAGCCCCCCTCCTTGAGTCATCGCCTCTTTGCAAGATGATAAATTGACTTTATAAAGTAAACTTAAAGGTATTTACATAGTTCACGGCTGCGAGTACAACATTACCAGCGGCTGAGAGTACAAACATTAAAAGCTGCTCCGTCCGTGTACATAATATTGGATTACAATAAATAAAACAAAAGGAAAGAAAAAAGAAATAAAATTATTCGTTTTTTAAAAAAAAACAAACACACATGACTAAAACATATATCAACAAGAACTGGGGGTAATTAAACGTATTACATGTCCTTGCTTCAATCTACAAACTTGGTTAGGATTACTAGATTAGTTCTGTAAGAAATTCTTGTTATATAAGTTATGTTATTGAAATCATTAGTGTAATCTGCAAGTATTGTTTAAATGACTAAAGTAAAAATTTGTTAAGGTCTCAAGCTAGTGAACAACAATATTTACTTAACCTGTTTTGACCGCCGAACAGGAATTTATGCTAATTTTGCTCTGATCGCGGAAAGGAACGATTTCATCTGAATAATAGCATTCTACTCATTTTCTCTCTGAGTAAAAAGATTCTCCAACAAACTCCCAAGTAAATGATAGTCCGTGGAGATGGAGGCTTTGATCGGATTTGCTCTCAAGTTATTGAGTGATGATAAGGTATCTCTATTTGAACGCTTGCTGATGATATTGTTCGTGTTCATGATGCTGCAAATTAAGTTGGATCCTGAACCCTCACTGATTTACGAGAAAAATTGGAGATGGTTGGAGACAAAGCAAATAAAATAATCGGAATTTAAAAGTTTTTACCTTGCAGTAAAGGCCAAACTTTTCTACCCGCACCCGTGTCTGTTGGCGAGACTTACAGTAAGAGACTTGAGGTAACTTTTACATACCCAATTGAGTTCTACTTGCCAAGGATGCAAATAAATATCTTCAAGATAATTGACCTTCAAGTTCATTCATGCGATGAGGAGAAAATGGTATCTGGGGAGTCTCAATGGGGGTTAAGGCGTTAAGCGTAAAAAAATTGCAAATTTCAACCGTTAGCCGTAAATAAAAATACTTTAAAAAAATTCTGTTGACAACAATGGAAAGATATTGACCGTTAGCCGTAAATTGACTAGAATTTTAACCGTTAGCTGTTATAACCATTACCCTGTTGAGATCCACTATCTGCTGAACGAATAAGTATCACCTACTTCGAGTCTTCTACGCCGCGGTCAATAATTCCAGTTAAAAACTTAAAATAAATGTTATTTGATTAAATCTTCATTGAGTACCTCGGATGACGTCTTATTGACTCTTTAACAAGCCGCTGCCTGGGAAACACACCAGGGGAACCAGAGGTAGCTGTGACAATGAAACCTGTCTGGACCCTGGCTAAGAAACAAACTTTATCCTAACAGGGGAGGGATCAAGTGACCTCCTGTATTTTAATACCGTCGCGCGTCGTTGACTTTGACTGATCAAATTAATTTATCACAAGCGAGTGGCTCGTTAGCATGGTTAGTTCCTTCGTAATTTAGCGCTTTAACCAGGTGAGGTTATCTTTTATTGTGGAATACACGCTGCGTCTGGGGTCAATCTACTTAAATCTCGTTGGGTAAGTGAACACGAAAAAAACTAGTGGTATGATTAAGTTTGTTTAGCGTCTATGGCAGAAACATTAGGTTAATAATACCGTTTTGTTTGAACAGCGTTAGTAGTCCCCTCTATTAACTCTGGTTTGAAAAGGCCAACTATTCATAAGTTAATCAACCGACGACATCGATCAGTTGTCTATATTGCGTTTGAGAGATGTACAGAAAGAAGTGAAACATAGGTTGGTGCGGAAGAGTGAAAGCAAAGCAAGAAGGAAAAATAGTTTCGTGGCGTGTAGAATTTCAGAGTTGTCGTATCACATAAGATCGTATCACATAAGATCGGTAAACTATCTATCCTCTCACCGATCAATGATTAATACTGGTCACACAAAAACCTTTTTCTGGGAAACTCGCAACGGGCAGATTTGAACAGACACAAAAAGACTCGCGTGTTTACATGTAGTGACTTCATGGTTGACTGATCGTTAAATATATTACTGGGAGAGAATAACAATACTTATATTTCCTTTCTTCCTCCTCGTCGATTTCTGAGTTGTAATTTTTGCCAGGTCTAAGGACTTCTGGGCGCAAGTAAAAGACTAAGACTTTGCTTCAAAAAGGAATGATACTTATGATAATGATAACATTAATAATGATAATAATAATAATGATAACAATAATAATAATGATAACAATAATAATAAAAAGAGGGTCTCAATGGGTTTATGGCTTTTACGGTTATCGATTAAGATTAACTTCGTTTCTTTGTGATTAAAAGAAAACTTAACTTTTCGTACGACTTACGGTTAATATTCGTCCATGCGTAAATGTTTTGGCTGTTTTGCGGCAAAACGCCCGTTTAAACGGTTCCAATATTTAACCAACATTCGTTCAACAAAAGTTGAACGGATGTTGGGCAAATGTTGGACGCAAAAACAAAGTTGTTGGGAGGCCTTTCAAAGGCCTCAAAAAAGGCCTTACAAGGGAAAAGTTGAATCGATGTTGAATGAAAGTTTAAACCGATTTAAACTTGATTCAACACGCTTTCAACAAGCTTTCAACATTTTTACGTTTTCAACAATGTTGGACGACCTGTTTAAAGGCACCGAATATTTGTTTCAACAAAGTGTTGAATGCATGTTGAAGCAAATGTTGAAACCGTTTAAACGGGCCTTAACGGTTAACTCCATTGAGACCCTTTTACAACCACCGTAACGGGCTGCTTTTAAACGGAGAGAGTGTTTTCTGAAAAAAAAAAAACCAACTAACAAACAAACAAACAGACGCCTAGATATGTGAAGAAATAATGGAAGGATGTAAGGGCAAGAGAAAAGTGGGTTAAAAAAAACAAACAAACAAAGATAAAAGAAATAATTTGAATATATCAACAAAGTTGAAATGGTAAATTGGCCACCGTAACGATTACAAAAGCTGACGTTTCGAGCGTTAGCCCCTCGTCGGAGCGAAGGGCTAACGCTCGAAACGTCAGCTTTTGTAATCGTTACGGTGGCCAATTTACCATTTCAACTTTGTTGTTATATCCAAATTATTTCGTTACCCCCACCGACGCAACCCCAAACAGTTTCTTTAGAAACTATCAGCCTTTATTAAAAAATAAAAGAATATGCCTAATCGTTGCAAGTCCCGACTCAGAACTGTGGGAGAACCCCTTTACCAGGCTCTTCAAACAACATTGCCACATGTTTCTCGCTTTTTTTTTTCTCAATAGATTTTTTAACTAAATTTGGTCCAATCTTAAAGTCACCAGTTGAAAGTTTACGTTTGAGCATCGTTCAAATTATTTTAACTTCTTAAACAGAAAATGGTCAAAACTGGTTTGGCTTTCTCTGGCGGCGGAGTCCGGTCAGCGGCCTTCTGCTCTGGGGTCCTGCGTAGACTGCTTCAGCGAGAGACCAACTTGGATTATCTGAGCTGCGTGTCAGGGGGTGGTTACACAGGCTCTGCGTACATGGACTGGAAGTACCGTCATGGCAAGCAAGACAGCAAAGACTGGCACTTCAAATTCTTTGACCATCTGCGCCAGCGGAGTGGCATTTTTTGCGACTGGCAGCGGCCTTTACATGGAGTATTTGATTGTACAGTTCTTTTCTGTCTTCCAGTTTTCGTCACCCTCGTTGTTCCATGTATTTTGTGGAGTGCTTACGCATGCCCACTGGCCTACGCTGTCGACTATCTTGCGGGGGATATCATTCGGGGCGGAATCATAACACAGTGTGACAGCTCAGCGCTACTGGTGAACGAAACAGTCCCAGAATGCAAAGAGCGACGGGAGAGGAAAGCTATTACGAGATTCCTTTTGTTTGGCGCTCCTCTTGTCTTGACATTTGCTTCTTATCTCATTGCGCCAAGGATACCCGTGTTAAAAAACGCCTCCTCATTCCTAACCACTGCGTTTGGAGTCATATTTGGCCTTGTGTTTTTGCCCTGGTTTTTCCATGACGTGCTCGAGTTCCTACCTGATTGGATGAAAGTTTTAGTCATTCTACCCACCGTTGTGCTTTGGTTTTCGTTTCCTCTGATGAGAAAAAATGCTACGCTTGTCGTAATTGTGTATTTCTATGCGTACATTATTGTGAGTAGAGTTTACAAGACAAGCCTCAGTTTTTATCCGTACACAGACCACTTTTTTGCTCAGCAGTTGTGGGCTTCAGGTTTACTCTTATGGATCTCACCTCTCTTAGGAATGATACAACAGCGTCTGGGTCATATTTACAACAGGTATGTGACTTGTTTGTCTCTCCTTTAGCTAGTTTAGGTGCAACGGTGCCTTGTAATTGTAACAGAATTGCTTTGTAATTTACGAGTACCTGACAGAAATCTTTAATTTACGTTTCCGATAGCGGAAGTTATTGCTCAACTTATTACATGAAAGGGATGTGATAGTTTCTCTTACTCGTTGATTAGAAAATAAACGACGTACGATCAAGTCGAGCTCCGGCCATTATGAAAACGCCGCCATTTAATCAATACGAGCCCTCATTACCCATGGAATGAGAATGTGTTGCGAGCGCACTCGTAAAAAATCACGTGTGCAAGGGGGACGCGCGTAGGCTGTGCAAATAAGCACCTCTACCTTGTTTGGCTTAATTGGCGTATGAACTCTAAATACGCGATTTAATGTTTCCTCCCTTTGAGTTTTTAGGTGGCGGCTACAAAAAGCCTTGTTTACGCCAACCAGTCGAGGATGGTGTGGTTGTGCTGGTATTTCCTTCCGCGACTTTTTCCTCAGCTGCCCATATTTCAATCACAAACAGCGTCGTAACCTCGACCCCGAAAGACCGCTGACCTTGGAAGATCTTGAGAACGTCAAGCCTATCTTTATCAGCAACGCAGCGGTCAACCGATGGCGACGCACCACCTCCCCCACGGAACCTGACTACGAAGCACTTATCATGTCCCCCCAAGGGATTGAACGGCTGGACCGACCTGCGCATGAGCGTGAATTTGAAGGTAAGCTGATGCCGGAGGATATTTATTTGTCCGATGCCATGGCAACGTCAGCTGCTGCTGTCGATCATCACATGGGCGCCCTGGAAGGTGAAGAGATGTTTAAAGACCTGAAGGTCACCTTGGGAATTGCTATGGGTAACTCTGTTGTCAGCGACCCGAGGCATGTCAGGAAACTCAATATTTGTCTTCAGGTTGGTAAAACTGTCAAGTTCCTCCGGTCTTCCGGAAGAGTTATGTCCTTGGCCAAACGATTATCCGAAAAAAGAATTATAAAAATTTAAGCTGATGAGCTAAGCTTCGGGGGCTTATGTCATATTTCGAGGAGGTTCTAGGGTGTCCTTGATTCTTTAGACAGCAGAATTCAAAGCTACATCGAAGTTAAATGAGTTCAACCGGTAATTTGTTACGTCGTCTTGTTTTTCAGATTCTTCCGTACTTTATTGAGATATGCAGAGTCTCTCCACTTTTGATATCTTATGTTCTCTACTACAACTTTGACGGCGACCACTATCTCACCTTTGGAGTATTTTGTTTCTTCTTGGTTCTGTTGCTTTTGACCGTAATCGCCTTGATACCTACGGGATCTCCAAAGCCCAACCGTATGGAGAGGATGGCCAGGTTCAAATATGTCTTTCTTGTTGCCACTAACAATGATTTAACGTTCGCCTTTGAGGGTCTGACAATCTTCGCGGAAGGACAACCTTTGTGGCATTTATTCAAGGATATTGGTATCTCTGTGTATGCGTGTTTCTTAAAATCCTTCTCTAAAACGCCACCGCGCATAATGATATACATGTCTGCTACCTAGGCTTCCCTTCATTCCCCAACTCCACCCCCACTTTCACTTACGGTACTTGAGTGCGGACGTTTTTGGGACGGGCATGGCGAATGAAAGGAGAGTGCACTACTGTTGGCGCACTTCGATACCGAAAAAGTTATTGGCCCACAAAATTTCATCACAATTTTTTGTAGCATTTTAAACGAAACTCTCCCGAAAAATTACATAAATCAAGTGAAAGTGAAAGTGAATAATTTGATACCTTAACAGCAGCATGGGGTGAATTGCTAAGGTCTATAGTGTTACTAAGGTTGAGATCGGATGTCAACATTATTTCAACGTCCGGTTACCATCCGCGTCTGTGGTTCAATCCCTTATGACCAAAAAGCATTTCCCCACGCATTTGCTAATATTAGCTATTCAACATTTTATGTTTAAAGCCATACACACCACAGTTGAAAGACCTATCACCTCTTAGTTCAAGAAAAGTCTCAATGAAAATTTTCCAAATTTGTAATTGAGAGGAATGTCTTTTCGTGATCAATTCTTTTTCCCTTTAGGTACTTTGCTGTTCACATTCCTTACATCAGTTATGTTCGGAAAACGCTCGGGATACTAAACCTGGGGCCCAGTCCTCCTCCTGTGTTGCGTCTGAGTGATGGCGGCCATGTTGAAAACCTTGGAATCCTGCCTCTTCTGAGACTGAGACTAAAAAGGATCGTCTCTGTATATGGTGGATGTGCAGCTTCAGAACAGGCGTTTTGTAACACCTTGCAGAACGCACTCGAAATGGCCAGAAAAAAGTTGAGATGTTCATTTACAGGTATGGATGGTCGAGACATCAACGAAGACATTCGAATGAACTTCGTGGAGAGAAGCCCTGGAAACCAGCCTAGGAGTTACAGGTTTGTGATTCAGTTTTAAAGGCCCTGTTGTGTTGTTTAATAGCTTTCATGTGAGGTCCCGCACACAAGCGTCTCCTTTTAAACTAGTTAGCGATACTCATTCCTATCGCAACTAAGTTTTTGGACCAACCAGCAGGGTGTAGTCAAGCGATTTTCAATTTACATTTAAGAATGATTGGGACTTTGGTTTCTTTTTTACCAACCCTCTGCTCTTGCGACCATTCAGGTGCAAAACTAAAAACAACCGTAACTTCCCTGGTCCCTTACCTTTTCCCGCCCTTCAAACAGTATGAAGTTTCTACTCTGAGTTCTTATTGGCCCCTTGCAACGGTTCCTTTGTTCTGATTGGAGCTTGTGAACAAGGCGTGCTTTTGGCTTAGTGAACCCCCCCCCCCGCCACACACACCTTTAAAAACGTTCCTTTTGTTAGTTTTGGCTTAACGTCCTCAATCAAAACGCACTTTTAAGTCTGCACCATAGAACAAGCTCGCCCTAGGCAATTCATCAAAGCCACAGTCAAATCTAGTGAGAAGCTTATTCTATCTCACAAGTCGGACAATCTGTTAATACTGAAAGAAAGTCTTCTATTACTTCAAGGTTCAAAGTTCACTACTTTGACAAAGATGCAGAAGGAGACGGTGACTACAAAGTCGGTGAGGCAGAAGTGCTTTTCATTGCTCCAAGACACCCTTATAAGGGAATCAGGATGACGCAACCTATGACGTGGAAGGAGGCGTTAAGTGACATTGTCGGAAATCTTGACGAAGGCTGTTGGGGGACTGGACCAGAGCTTCAGGCAAAGGAGGTCGACAGGCTGACGTTCTGCTGCTGCGAGCGTTGTCATGGTGACACTTGTAGGAGTTTTTCAGAGGGGATTTGTGGAGCATTTCCGCAGCATTCTACTTCGAATCAATTCTACACGCCAGAATTGTTTGCTGCTTATCATAGAGAGGGATATCGCGCATGTTTAGAGGCTAAAGCTGCTGAATTTCTGAGGAAGCAATCAGCCGAAATGCTGGATGTAAATCACATTCGTGTAGAGAATGTTGACGAAACAGAGATCTAAGTAATTCGCAAGATTTTTGGTATTTGGTCGAATGAAACAGTCAGCATTAGATTTTTGGCGTAGAGTTAGATAATAAAAAAAAAAACACAATGTTTTTTAAAAAAATGGTTTAGGGTTAGAAATTTTTGGGCTCAAAAGCTCGAGTGACCAAACAACGTTTTAAACTATAGTTTTATGAAATGAAATTTCGAGTAAAGATTTGTAAACTTTCCCCAGCTGTAGCGAGTTACAGTAGCAGTGCAATGGAATGGAATACAGGACAGTTTTAAGGAAAGTATTACAGTGCAAAGTAACTGACGTTAAGTGATGTAGTAGAATATTTTTCAAGATACCTTCATGCGTGTATGCCTTTCCTGTGGATTAGAATTTCACCTGCAAGATACCCACACAAGTTGTCATACAATCGTAAAAAATATTCAGTTGTATTTGAAATGTCGTTCAGAGGCGTTAAACAAGAAGAATATGAAGTAAATATTGAGTGTTCAAAATTGGTATATTTCTGAGGAGGAAAGCTATCACTTATTTTAATCCCTCGTCCATGAGCGTTAATTAGCAACCTCTCTAAGAAAGCTGACGAATGCTACGATTCTACTGGAGGGGACTGGCATCCAGTTAGACCGCTTTGAAATGGAACGACCAGAATAACGCCACCACGATGGTGCGCCATAAAGCTCGTAACAAATAACATTTTCATTCCACGTTTTCCCTCACCCTGCCCCTCCCCGTTCACCCTTAAAAAACTGTACGTACCAATATATGTATTTGTAACCTTTATTCAGCGAGTACATCAAGTCGCATTTTAAAGCTTATCGCTATCTATACTTCTTGCTTAGTCGGTATCTATCTGCAATAAAGTCACCTTTAGAGGTTCAAAAGTACACTTTAACTTTATCAGCCTCGCAGTTTGCAGACCCAAAGTAGCAAAAGCCAAACATCTTCATTAAAGAAATGAGGTTCATTCTTATTTGAACGACAGGATCTTTTTGGTCACCATCAAAGTAATGTTCAGGAAAGAGCATTTTACTCCCGTCAGACGGCCCTGCGGAAAAATGCAATCGAAGTTCTTCACTCATTCATTTATTCAACCATTCAGTTATCAATTACCTTATTCAAAGTTATGAAAGAGAAGAGCCGTATGAAAACAATTCACCGAACCATTCAACAAAATAAAAACATCGCTAGGTTAAGAATTATTAATAAAATTCCGTACGAATCCGTTGAAAACAAAAACTGACCTCCCATCACTTTTATCTAAAAAAGTATTTAGCTTTTGTTTCAAAGTGAAAGACAATACTTTTCTTGACTGATTTGTGAGGTTAATAAAGATGTAATAGTGTCTTAGGTCATGCTATAATTTCCAATTCCTGTTCCAATTTTTTTGGTTTTATGTTTTGGGATGTCATCTTACTGCGCC